TAATTTTTGATATCAATGACTAATGTATGACAAATGTGAAAAAGAATGAGTGTTGCAGTTTGGGAATATTCTATTCTCCCTTTTTCCTGTTAACTGACCCAACTTCCGTATTATCTGTGAGCAATGTTTTTTTCCACTTGTCTCAAGAATCCACAAGGGAAAGTGATGTACAAGGAACACCTTTTTTTGAGATGTGCTCTCTAAGAAATGACACTGTGGATTTTAATATCAGTCGCTTTTACATCAATTGTTTAGCACATTTATCCACGATGCTGTTTGTGTGTAGTCATGCTTCTGTGACTGCATTAGTGCTCTCTAGTACAATAGTGTGTTTCCCGTCCTTCCTGTCTGTGTTGTATTTAAGGGAAGCTCATGTGTGAAAACTGGTCACCACTGTTGGCATGTGGCTTTGAGTCATCCAGAGTGAATGGAGTCCGAATACAATGGGATGTGTACCTTAAGCATTGTCCAGTCAGGTAGTGATGACTGGAAATATGCAAAACTTATGCAACTTGTTTAATCCTCAGACTCGCTTGCTTCTGTAAGAATCCTCACTCGTGGAAAAATGAAATCAGATGTACAAAAGAGAAATAAATCAAAACTGTTTCTTGCTCATGACTTGGGTCGTCTCATAGTGGAAGTCATGGTGCCATCATTCTTCTTTGAATCTGAGGTTGATTGCTAAAGCGTGCTGAGAATTCAGTGTTGGAACAACATTAACCACGTGTTGCCCTCCGTTTGATGTCACAGACGAGATAGACATTAATCATGGGTTCTGCATTCTCTGTCAGCACTTTGGTGAAGCAGAGCAGCTCCAGATGCTCCCGTGTGGTGTTGTGAAATACGGGGCTATGTCTGTCACATGTTCCCTCCTATTCAGCACATGAGCTTATCCAGAAAATTTTTCTCCTTCCTGTTTTTGTAGGGAGTTTCTTTATGTATACTAATTCCTGCTATAAAGTGAAGTTCCTTAAGACTTCACAGAAAAGGTATCATACTGGAAATGTGAAAGCAGAATGTCCCAATAATGTTATCTCTCTTCTGCTGCCAATTAGGTTTTTACAAATTTTCTTACTGTGCCATTAAAACTCTGTTTTGTGCTCGATACTCTTGTGATAAGTTGAACTTTTCTCTCCACGAGGATAATGATTAACTTTCACATATGTTTTTAGGACAAATCAAATCATGGCACTTGATTCAATCCACGCTCTCTCTGTTGTATGTTCAGGTCCACAGTTACACCACCATGGCCTTTGTGGCTGTGCAGGAATTCAACACAACCTACAGTGTGGAGGTGGCTGCATGCACGCAGGCAGGGAGCGGCATGGTCAGCCCACGAGTCTCGTTCTTTGTGCCGGAAGACAGTAAGCTGCTCTATTGATTTATCTCATCATCTGGGGAGCTTTTAACTTTATAAATGGGTCAGCAAAGTTCAGATGATGTATTGTACTACACTAGAATAACAGTACAGCCCTTGGAATAAATACAGCACCTATTAAGGTTGCAGTATTTTTAGCCGCGCTGCCAGCATATTTCTGAGATGGCATAGTTGGACGGTCTCTCGACTACTTTGGTCCAAGATTTAAATCTCAACCGCTTAGATGAGTTGCCATAAAATTTAGCAAACAGACTTATTCTCCCTGAGATTAAAATGTAATAACTTTGATTCCCTGACATAAGTATCATCAAGTACCATCAGAAGGAGCAACAGTACCTCTAGCTGATGTTGAACTGAGTGTCTTCAATTTCAACCTGTGAATATTTTTAACATTGGGCGAAGATAGTGTGGAAACTGGCTTATTGTTTGCAACACTTAGAAGTTATAAAAACGAATTAACAGTGATCATTTACAAGGCAAAATAAAATATCTTGCTTTTGTAAATGGATTATTAGCAAACAACACATCATCACAGTAAATACAAAGACTACAGGCGGCTAGACTCAATTATGTATCCTCATTTAATTGTGTTAAAACAAGCTGTTAATGTTGCCACCTTCTTAGTTTTTTCAGGGAGAAGCGCAAAATTCCATTTGATATGATAACATTGGTAATGTTTGTTTTGCATCGAACGTTCTTCTTCTGCACATGCTTTTTTCTTTGTATATTCAACATTACCTACCTCACTTCATATGCGCAGATCTTAACTTTGTGCACCATAAATATGAGCCATCCTGTTTGTTTCTGTGCAAACATTTTTGCACTGTTCTTGTATATTTGTATTTGTTACCTTGCTATGTGTGAGTAGATGTGAGTGATGAATGTGTCTGAATGAATGTATTCTGTAAACAGTTTAATCACCACACTAACTAGTGACACAGAGAAATAAGAGCTTAACTGCTTTAATTACTTTTTATTGCTGCATATACCAATAAAGCTTTTGGATATCATTTAGATAAGTAATTTTGTATATTAGGTTTGGGATAGCTGACTTCGCTGAATGTTGTGCTCTAAATTTTGCTTCTCATTTCTTTTTCTTGTCTCAGAATCAGGTGTGTTCCCATCGATCGGCCCTGACACCGGGCTTCCACACCCCGCCTATGTTGTGCTGTCCGTGGCGTGTGCCGTCTGTTTTCTGCTGGCGATCCTCTGGGCAGCTCTCTGTGTACGCAACAGGACGTCTGACTCCTGGTTTGGGTACGCTGAGAATCAACGATTAATTAGCAGCAATACTCCCAAAATGTTAGTCTGCTAGACGCATAAAACTTGGAATGTTGACTTAATCCTGACAATTCATTACATATGTTATCTTCAGTAGTAGGACTTGAAAAATGAAAAACTTCCGGATTGTGTTCATAAACTGCCTTTGCTTCCTCTTAATCACCGTTGCCTGCACTGGAATCTGGTAATAACGGTGCAGCTGGAGAGATGATCAACAAGCAGCTGTTTAATCCTCAGAATTTTTTATTATGGAGTCTGTGACTCACACTTGCCACTCAGGATACAGAGAGGAATGTGTCACAGGCTGCTGCTCAGATAAGAAAACAAGTATCTGACCTCAAAGTCAGGAACAGAACAGCTCAGAGGGCTTCCTCACTACGAGCACCTCTTCAGCGTGTGTGTGTGCGTGTGTGTGTGTGTGTGTAATTACCAATGACATTAGAGACGATTATCTCACTGTTCAGCATTCCATGCTTTTCCTTTATTCCTGTCTCCCCCTGCAGGCGGGTGTTTGGAGGTGGAGAAAAGCTGCCGTCTGTCGTGCAGTTCACACCACAGAAATCCTACAACCGATCAGCTATAGGAATCACACGTATGTTGTTAAATATAACTGGAGGAGAAATGACATGCATGTTGACATTTATGTTATCCTGTTACCTTGGCACATATATAAATAAAAAATGATTTTTGTGCCTTCTGTCTGCAGTTGGGAACCTTGGTATTAGTGATGAACTCCAGGCCAAACTTCAAGATGTGATGGTCATGAGGAGCTTATTGTCTGTAGGGAAAATTCTTGGAGAGGGTGAGTGAACACTTTCCCTTATGTAAATGTGTTCATATTTACACGGTCATCTTGCAGCATAATTACACAGAACACGCTGTATAAAGTGTTAATGATTCTGTTTTGTTTCTCAGGTGAATTTGGCTCCGTGGTGGAGGGACATTTAAGACGACCAGAAGGCACATCAGAAAAAGTTGCTGTGAAGACAATGAAACGTGAGTCTTGTGTTATTATCAAACATTCATGGAATTTAAACCAGTTGAACTGACAAATAATAACTTTTCTTGCCAAACAGTGGACAGCTTCTCTCAAAGGGAGATCGAAGAGTTCCTAAACGAAGCAGCCTGCATGAAAGACTTCAACCATCCTAATGTCATCAGACTGCTCGGTACGAGTCATATGTTCCCTCTTTGAAGTGTTACAGAATTCCTTTTTCATTTACACATCCTGATATGATTCCACTGTGTTGGCTCTTCAGGTGTCTGCTTAGAAGTAGGCGCAGGACACTTTCCCAAACCCATGGTCATCCTGCCATTCATGAAATACGGAGATTTGCACAGCTTCCTGCTGCGCTCACGCCTCGGAGAGAGTCCAGTGGTAAGATTTCAGCCAAAAACTGAAATGCATATTTGATTTAATATATCATAATTATTAAATCTGTATTTGTTTTTTTTACACAGTTCTTGCCCACTCAGACACTCCTGAAGTTTATGGTCGACATTGCTTTGGGCATGGAGTATCTCAGTGGTCGTAACTTTCTGCATCGTGACCTGGCGGCACGTAACTGCATGTAGGTTGCTTACTCTGCTTTATGCACAAAGTACGGGGTGTATTGATTGAACCTTGAATTTACAGGTTATTTTCTTCCTAGATAAGCAGGTGTATGATTCATTTCTTACGAGTTTTATGTGTTTTGCTTCTTCTGTTTGTCCTAAGTCCATACCTTGTTTGTCTTACAGGCTGCGCGATGACATGACAGTGTGTGTGGCAGACTTTGGGCTGTCCAAGAAGATCTACAGTGGAGATTATTACAGGCAGGGCAGAATAGCCAAAATGCCTGTAAAATGGATTGCAGTAGAGAGTCTGGCAGACAGAGTTTTTACTGTAAAGAGTGATGTGGTAAGTACTGACTGCAACCTTTCCAATGAAAATAATCCCCTAAAACACTGTGTAGTTACTGAAAGAAGAACTGACCCCTTGGCATCTGTTTCTAATTTTACTTTCTGTTGTGCCACAAAAGCATTTGAAAGTGCTTTGTCCTTTTTCGTAAGGATGTGGTACAATTTTTTTTTTTTAACAGTCTTTATCTAATATATTTATAAGTATGTGATAAGCTTTGGGATAATTACCTTTTTATATTTTCCCCCTGTTTTTGCAGTTTTACAGATCTGAAAGTAGGACGTTCGATACTGAAATCCTAATTCCTCAAGTGTTTCCTGCTTTTTTGTGTTATTAGCTAAAATGTAGAATATAGTGCAGCTAAATCACGAAAAATATTTTTACCTCCCATACTGAGAGGCTCAATACATTAACATTTCACACAGTTTTGTACTGAGCTGCAAGTACAAATACACATTATTCTTTTTATTTTCAAAGGAAAGCAATAGTATTTATAGATAACAGGGGGCAAAAAAAATCTATTTTTATGGTTTGTGGTTTATGGTACACACTGCAAGTTTTTCTCATCGTGAAATAGGATCTGAAGTTGCTACTCTTTGTCATGCAGTGGGCATTTGGTGTTACTATGTGGGAAATTGCTACACGAGGCATGACGCCGTACCCCGGAGTCCAGAACCATGAGATTTATGACCACCTTGTTGAAGGACACAGACTGAAGCAGCCAACAGACTGTTTGGATGAACTGTGAGTGTTCTCTGTTTCTGACACAAATGCTAAATTCAAGTTTGATTGTTTTGGAGGTAACCATATAAGACTATACAAGTAGAATTTTTTAAATTGTTTGTCTAAATCTTGAAGGAATGGGGCTAGTATTGAAAATTAAATATGGAAAAGTAACATTTTAAGCCTGTGAAAAATGTAATTCAAGCATTTCACAGAAATTCTGTGGTTGAACTGTTGTCTCTTGCATGCATCAGAACTTAAGTTCCACTATACAACCCCTTATTGTGTAGTCCTCCCTTATTCCTGTGTCACAGCAAACTAAATGCAAAATTTGAGCATTTACAATTTGTTTTTCATTTGGATATGCAGCATTTAGTTTCCAATTTTGTCTTGCATAGACTATGAATAAAATCAAGTAGAATTCCTTTATTGTCATTGCACAGTCTACAAAGAAATTAAACAGAAATCCAGTCAGTGTATTCACATAATTGAACAACTATTTATTTTTATTTTTTTAAGTACGACAAGAAATGTGCAAGTATAAATCCACAAAATATAGTAAAAATACTATATAAAAGTGTAAACTATGAAAACCAATAATACAGCATCCTCTAAGGTCACAACACTGTTAAAAACTTCCCTTTTTAAAACTGGACTGCTTTGTTCATTGCTCTTACCTGCAATGAAAGCAGAAGTGAATACATAATTTGCTAATGTGCTTTTAACGCCACCAGGTTTGTTACCTGTATCCCAAAACAAGTCTGTAAGAAATTGCAAGATTGATGACATGATTTTTCCCCCCGTATCGCCTGTGTCTAGATATGAGATCATGTACAGCTGCTGGAGGGCCGATCCGCTGGACCGACCTTTCTTTCCTCAACTGCGAGAAATGTTGGAAAAGGTGGCAGAAAAGCTTCCAGAGTCCACCAGCAAAGAAGACATCATTTATATCAACACCAGCTTCCCTGAGGAGGACCCTGATGGAGACACTCTTCCCGCGGAGCATCTTGTGTCAAGTTCCTCTCCCTGCTGCAGCCGTCAGGCAGCAGAAAACACAGTAGTTACTGCGGACATTCACGGGAGCCTGGAGGAGGAGGAGGAGGAGGAGGATGAGGACAGTGATCGATACGTGGTGGTGATCTCCTCTCCCACGGTGGACACTCCTCTCTTGTCGGCTGACGCTTTAAGTCAAGCGAACGGAGACACGATTACAGATGTGACAGCAACGGATCACAGCTCAAGTGACACTTCTTTCCTGCTATAACGATTGGTACCCGGCAGATATAAACTGTGACAAAGCTCTCTCCATGGTTCGTCTTGTACTAATCGTTTTGCCTCGTCGCACTGGGAGCACCTTGATGTTTCCTATTGTGGACTTTCTGTAGTGTTTTTATAGAGGTTTACGCTTTACACGGCCAGCCTACTTGTCAGTGTTAGGAATATTGTTCCATAAGCTTAAGACACACTGAACTGTGAAACTGTTTACTGTATTAAAGTCTGTGTTGCGATGTAAATATAGAAAATGTACAAAACATTTATAAAATTCTATTATACTGTCAGAATAAACAGTTTATTGACTGCTTTGAAACTTGGTAGGGTTGATTTCCGTCACACATTCATGAAAAATCATCATGATATTTGGTGGAAATTATTAGGTAAATAAAAGAGATTATTTAACAAAAGAATGGCAGTAAAGTGATAATTAAGCGGGTGAGCCATAACATTAGTTAAGATAAAATTCGATGCTCAATTTTTGTTCTACAAGTTCTGAAAGAAAAAAAAAAGTGGTTTATTTGAGCAATTACCACAAAATCAGAGTTATATTTAACCAAAAGAGAAAATGTCAAGTTTAGTAAATCTTATGTTTTTTTTTGTTTGTTTTGTTTTTTCCATTTTGGACAGCTGATAAAGATTGTGTCCTCCTCAAGGTCAGTTTTGTTGTTATGAAGTTTGACATAAGGAAAATAAACCGATAGCCTGCTTTATCCCCCCGTAATGTAAAACACACTTTAATGTAAGCCCACAAGTAGGTGGGCTAACAGATAGGAAGCCTGGACTTGGATCATACATAATAATAGGTTGTTTTGTAATCAAAGTCCGCCTGACACCTTGCTGGACCAGCAGGTAGCACAGGTAACTTTAAACTGGAGGGTCCTCCCCCTGGCTGATGCGTTCACGGCGCCTCCTGCAGGGTGAGTGCTCCAACACAGCGAATATGGCTGCTGCAGTCAGGATGAGGACGTGGAGCTGTCCTACCACAGGAGTTTTCTGTCCGTTGGCGCTGTTTTTTGTACTTTTGCTCCATACTGTAAACGAGGCTGCCGCGGCGCCGGAGACAGGGCTTTGGAAGATCACAGTCGTTAATGTGAGTGGAAATACTTTGAATAACTGCAGCACCGCTAGCTAACGTTAGCCGCATTAGCCTTGTTATGGTAGCTCGCTGTCAGCTGTGAGTCGGCTGACAGTCGTGTAACATGTCTTATATTAATGCTAGCTCGTTAGCCACTGTTAGGTGTGACTGGCTTTGTTCAACGTTTATTTTATAAAATGTGAATACCGGAGGAATAGAGTGTGTTTGTTGCTAATTAGCTCTTAGCCTTGTGGTGAATGGCTGATGTGCACTTCAAGGTTAGCAACCGGCTAACAAGCTGCCTTGAGTTGAACAGCTCCTAGGAGTCTTGACTGTTAAACTGAGGCAAACACCAACAATATATCTTTGTGTCTATCCATGCAGCTATCTCTCGACCAGTATTTAAGACCACACATTACAGCTTGGACTATGTGTATTCAAGTTTACTAAATATGTTGCCAGCTTGCCACACATCATTGTTTCAATATACATAAAAACACATATTGAAAGTCGAATTTCAGTCCAGCACTACTACTGTGGAGTAACTCCCCTGGTTTCAGTATTAAGGCACAGCTCCCACATTTAGTTCAAGGAGAACTAGAAAGCCTTGATCAATAATTTAGGTGCTGAGAAGTTTCAGTTTCCCTCTGTTGTGTATTAGGTGAGCTTGGAAGCAGGGCACAGTCTGGACAGGTTGTCAGTCAGAACACATACAGAAGAGATACATTCTCATCCTAATAATGTGATTTAAGTTTTCTGTTCACCTTAATGACAGACTTTTTTCTTTGTAACAGACACAGCCCAACCTGACTGGGCTTGCATACTGAACAGTATTAAGCACTGAGCCTAAATGATTAATCAGTTCACCAAAGTATTTATATATTGATCAAAAATAATCCCTGGCTAACAAATCTTATTTTCTATTCTGTAGACCTCAAGACCACTGCTGTTAAGGAAGTCCATGTATAAAGACACTGATGTTGAATTAAAAGGTAAGATTACAAAAGGAAATGCTGTCCCCAAAATTCTGCCAAGTTTTTGTTTATCACAGCACGTCTTCATCTTTTAGTTGTGTCTTTTGGCTGTCCCGAGGAGGTGACCTTCACTGTTCGCTGGTATTTAAGATACTACCCCTGTCACAATGAGTTCAACAATATTGAAGTAAGTGCTTTGTGTTACACTAATTAACAGTGTGTCCTGGTTGTTTGTGGATGTTGAATTGTGACTATGATCGTCTGTAGGAGATGTATGAAAGAACACCTTTGAGTCGCGGGGAGGGCCTGGATCCAAATCCCCTCGGACAAGGAGAGTGCATCGAACACAGGCACAGTCCCATAACGTGTAATAATGGACTGCGCACCTTTCCAATGCTCAGAGTAGGTTTGTTATTCTCCTCAGTGCAGATAGTCACGCATTTAACATCATGGAATTTATTGTTTCCCATCTGCACCTGTGTGTGTTTTTCAGAAAGCCAAGGCAGAGCCACGTCCAGTCAGTCCACCTAATGAGAATGAAATGCTTGTAAGAAAACTTGAGTTTCACAGAATTGTGACAGATAAAGTTGTCTTCCTCTAAGTTTGACCACAAACATTAGCCAATATTTGTGTTTCTTTCGTGTGTTGTTTCCTTAATTTGTTTCTGTATACATGCTTTTATAATAATGCAGGATGAAAATGACACTAAATGGATTGCTGAAGAATATGAAAGCAGCAGCGCCACGAAGAACAGCAGTTTGAGTATTAGAGACAATGTCATAGCCACCACATGGAAGGACGGGCCCTACCTGCTGGTTGTTAAGATTGAGTCCAATAAACAGGATGCCAATTGGAATTTAACAGGTAAGATTCTTTTAACCAGTTCACAACTACATGACTGGTGCAGAAGAATATTATCACGCTTATCTATGTTACTTTACCCTACGTGAGTTGGTCGGCCAAAATGGTGCACTTCCATGAAGCAGGCTCATAAGTGCAAAGCTATTAGGGAGCTCGACACAGAAGGGTCAAATTTCAGAACCTGTCATCACCACAAAGAAATTCTTAATGTGCCGGGAAACACTGTCATGCTTCATTTGCCTAATGTCCAGTTCTTTTTTTCTTCCAGTTAATGTGGTGATGAAAGGCAGCCACGGCTACATCTCTGTCACAGAATGGCCTCTCATGATTGTAAGTAGATGACTTGATAGGAGTCATTTTTTTGTGATTTATGGTAGAAACATTAATTAAGTGTTTGTTAATTGTATGCACACTAATATTATGCTCTAGTTTTTAAAAAGTTTTAAAAAATACTTTCATAAAATTATTTACTTTACATTTCAGCTCCTCTGCTCAGCTCTGTTTCAGGATGTAGAGGAGAGATAGGTGAAGTGACAATCGCGTTGAAAGCTTTCCAACAGGTGTCAATCTGTCTAAAACCAAACATCGACACACTTCGACCCCAAACATTTGAATGTCTGGCCAAAATATCCGCATTTTTAAAACATGCCCACCTGGAATCTGGCAACAGTAGAGAGAAATTTTCCTACTGATAGCAGGGAAGCTCGTCCTTGCCATAGCATTAGTGGCTCTCCTGCTGATAATGTTACAGCTGCACCGTCCCCGACAAGCACAGGAGCACGAGCTTAACAATCTTGGCTGTCAAAGAGGAAATACTCCTCCTGGCTGCACAAAAACGATAATGGTGAGATTAGGTGGAAAAATAATATGCTCTTGTTGCACTTAGTAAAACTCAGCCGTAGAAAAGTGCTTGTACATAATAGAAACAGTGTACACCTGAAAAACAGTTATTACTAATTAGCATAAAGAGAGGAAAAAGAGAGAGAAGCCGAGAGGGAAAGGCTCCATCCCTTGAGACACAATCTACCCGTGTTTCCTCAAAGACAGTCAGCCTTGGAGAAACACTGCTCAGTCAGTACTCTGAGTAGAAAAAAAACAAGATGTTTCTGGATAAACCTTCTCTGGAAATTGGTCTCTAGTTAACGAAGAACAACTGCTTCCATATGTGGCGTGTTTATAGACTAATCCCTCACTGTCTGTTTGCAGTTCTACATGGTAATGTGCATAGTGTACATCCTGTACGCCCTGCTGTGGTTTATCTGGGCAGCCTGCTACTGGAAAGATCTGCTGAGGATCCAGTTCTGGATAGCAGGGGTCATATTCCTCGGGATGGTGGAGAAGGCCGTCTTCTGTGCCGAATATGAAAACACCAATGCCGTCGGCTCCGCTTGTGAGTGTCTTTAGACAAAATATCGTAAGCCTTCTCATGTGAGACAGTAAGCTGTTTACTCTTTACATACTTTTACTTCAGCTCCAGGCTTGTTGATCTTTGCCGAGTTGGTCTCTGCCCTCAAGAGGACTTTGGCTCGATTACTTGTCATCATCGTCAGCCTCGGCTATGGCATTGTAAAGTATGTCAACATATATCTGCAGCTACGTATTTGTTAATTGAATTACCCCAAATGTTTTGTATTAACAAAATAAAGAAAATGTGATTTTTCTTGTGTCTGTTTTGTTTTAGGCCTCGACTGGGGACTGTGATGCACAGAGTGGTGGGGCTCGGTATCCTCTATTTTGCCTTCGCCAGCATTGAGGGTGTCCTGAGGATCACAGGGGTGAGTCATGTTCTCTCAGTAGTTTCTCTTTTTTAAGATTTATCAGTCAAACGTCAACAATAACAGATGCCTGTCAAAGTTAAAAGGGCCCAAATCAATAAATGATTTTACAAAAAATCTGACCAACAGTCATAAAAAATAAAAATAAAAAAAAAGACAAAAATGTATTGACATCAATTTGAATTAGGGGAAAGCAAAAAAGTAGTTCTAACCAGTCAGTGTTAGCTGGAAAATGACAAATGACCTGTGATGATAAATGAACTGACTCATTGTTTCACTACTGCTTTATTGAAAAACACCCACGGCTCAGCAGCATTAACTCTCTAAAGTTTTTTTTCAGATTGTGTTTTGAAGTAAAGTTGACATTATAATTGTATTTTCTTGATTTGTTGGTGGACCAAATATCAAGGGTCGAGACAATGGCCCCGCTCTCATTACAGCAATTGTTCTGGCTGTGTTTGACTCCGGCGCCATCTGGTTCATATCCTTCCAGTGTACTTCAGTAGCTCCAGTAATCAGCCTTTATTATACTCTATAAGTGGACCTATTTATTAATGAATTGAGCCCAAATGATTTTAAGTGGTTTTACCTTCTGGGTTGGATGATTTGTTGTTGTCTTCTTTGCACTTGGGTGAGTGGTTCTATATTTTAGTTGCTGTGCTGCCTTTTTTTTTTTTTTTTAAATCTCCTATCCTATATGTGATTTTTTTCCCACAAATTTCTCCTCTTCCCTGTGTCCTTTGGTCCTGCTCTGTTATCCCTTCTAGGCGAAAGACTCTGACTTGGCCCTGCTGGCCAACATTCCCCTGGCTCTGCTTGATTCTTCTTTATGCTGGTGGATATCCTTTTGTGCACCTGCAACCTTTCCCTGTGTGGTTCCCCTCTTCTCCTCATCTCCTTACATGAACCCATACTAGGGCAGGAGATTGTGATCTGCAGCTGTCCTTTTCTTTGCCAAAATTAGCATTTAAAATGCAGTTTAACAAAAAGACATCCTACATTTTAAAAGAAGCAGTCCTGCTTTAATGATTCATTCTCTACTGAAATTTGCAATAATTTATTGTTTTCTAATTGATGATGAACTGTTTTTTAAATCCTCTGTGTTCACTGCTTCTTTTCTCGGATAATGAATGACATTTTGCTGTGTTGCTATGTTCAGTCTTAACTGAATTGGCAGAAGTAGCTGGTTTGCATGCCCATCGGTCGCACTTTACAAGTGGTAACATTCACAGACTAGAAATATGGCTGCCACTAGGGTGGGCAATATCGATAAAGTCCACTAAAAAATATCAGTTACATTTTAATACAAAATTTTATATATTATATACAAATTGTGCTTTTTAGCATTTTCCCTTTCCTTTAGTGTACTGTAGCTTTTTTTTATGCCTCTAAAAGGTCTGCAGACTTATAAAAACAAAAGTCTTTGCCAAAGGGAGTTATTCTCTCCCACAGAAAACATTGCTCCTTACTCCCCTGGACTTGAAGTCTCGGCTTTTCCTCTGTCACTTATTTACATCACCACGTAACACATTTGCATAATGCCTGCCTCGCAAACCAAGCAGAGAATGAGCTTCTGCCTGGCAGTCTACCAGTATTTCCTCACTACAGACACTTCTGCTAGGACTATGTCTATCTACCTATACTCAATCTGGGCCTGCGATACGTAACCAGCGTTACTTTCGTTGGCACAGCTGACCAATCAGGGCAGACTTGACTTTTGGGAAGGGAGGCCTTTTAAGAGACAGAGCTAACATGGGGTATTTCAGACAAAACTGCCTATGCGTATTCTCGGGACTCTTTAAATTTTAATGCATTTTATGAAACTAGTTAGTTGAGAAACTGTTAATGAAAAAAAAACGTGTTTAAAGACCCAAAGCAGTGATAGTCCCCAGTGTTAAAAACTTATATTTCCTCAAGTTACATATTGTTATATCACCCAAACCTAATTACCACCAAGGCAAAAACTTACATTTTTTTTAACCAACTGCATTTGAATAAAAATTAACGAATAAAATGAAAAGGTAGGTCAAATTTAAAATAAAACCGTATACAGACATGTCACTTGTCCACTGCACATAGTTAGATGAGGCCAGACTGTGCAGTGGCACATTAATGTTATTCACATCCTGTTCCACCTTTTTCCAAAAGTAAAGACTGATGCACAACCTGACCTACCTGAATGGGAGAATTTGCACAACTGGCTGTTTCTGATGTATTCAAAACCACACAGATAAGATGTCAGTGAAGTGACCACTGTCAAGTTCTGTGATTGCAGTGTATGTATGGATATTATTGAGTGGTCCCATTAATTCATTTTTTTTAGGTTGTTCCTATGTAATGTCTGCCATGTTTTCCCTTGACTGCCGCTAACATCTTTGTCAGCCTTGCACAAACCATCAAGACTCTGAAGCTGAGGAGAAACCCCGTCAAGTTGTCTCTCTACAGGCACTTTACAAACACTCTAATATTTGCTGTTATTGGTAAGTTGTACAACTACACTTGCAATTATTGTAGAATATAATACATTCTGCGCTTCTGTTGTGATTTGTGTTTGCATCCAAAAAAAACTTTTAAGAACAAAAATTATACACAGTCAAGTACGTGCAGAACACTGACGCTTTTTCTACTTCTAGCTTCCATCATTTTTATGGGTTGGACGGCAAAAAAATTTCGACTCGCAGATTGCCAGTCTGTGAGTATAGTCTGACATATTCATCAGTAGTAGTGAAAAGATTGCAGGTTTGCATTTTATTGATTACTGGACCTGTTTTTGTGCAAAGGATTGGATTGAGCTGTGGGTAGAAGATGCCTTCTGGAGGTTCCTGTTCTCTGTCATTCTGCTCGTCATAATGTTTTTATGGAGACCATCTGCAAACAACCAAAGGCAAGTGGGCACATCAGGACTGTCCGCCAAAATAAACCGAATTAGACGCTTGATTAATCTTTTGTTTCACAGGTATGCTTTCACGCCTCTAATTGATGACTCTGACGACGAGGAGATAGAGGAGTTCATTGCCTCTGCAAACCTTGGTACGATAACATCATGGAAGCATTACTTTTACACATAGTCTTGTCAGATTTCTTTTTTCTTCTTTCCTGTTTTTTTTTATTATTTGTTTCATATTTTTCTCACAGGTGATGGTATAAAGTTGAGAGCAAATAAAAGTGAGACAAATGGTACCGTGAAGCCTGCAGAAACAAACCCAGTAAGTAACACTACTAAGTTCTGTGTTTATTAGTTTAATCACTGTGCCATATCAAGTTCTGTTTTATTAAAGCATAAATAATAAGAGTTGTGGAATGAATTTGGGAAATGCAGCTTTCCAGATGCAATTTTTCAGCAGATGGCAGTATTTACTCTGTTTATCCTCTTTTTCTCCTTCTCCAGGATGAAGACTTGAAATGGGTGGAGGATAACATTCCTAGCTCTCTTACTGATGTGTGAGTATCCTATAGAAGGTGTATTTGTTAATCCAGCAAGGAGTTTTCATATGACATGTGATGCTAACAGAGTCTCTTTGTGTTTGTCACTGCAGAGCTCTACCAGTCCTGCTCGACTCAGATGAGGTATGAATTAAATTACAACAAAATACACAACCATTATGATATGTGAACATCAGATCTCTAAAAAAACAGTATAAAGATTAGAATTGATAATTGATTGGGACTCTTTCTTTTTTTTTATTAAGACTGGAGCCACAGCCAATTTTGTGTGTATTTGAGGCATGCATTCTTTCATAAAAACACATGCTAATTGACAATTTGTTAAAGCCTTCTCTTGAACATGGGTTGCTTAGTTTGGCACGGAAGACCTGTCAAGCTTTGGATTTTCTTCAAATGCGAAGCGAAGCGCAATGCGACAGCACTCTGTATTTAGTTGCGCCCACTCTAACAGTTTGGTTTACCCTGACAACAAGTGGTGACTGCATCCCTTTTCCACCGTCTGTGCAGCAGTGATGTAACATTGCCACTATAGAACCACGTTATGTCACAGCTGGCTTTGGTCATAAGTACAAGTAATTAGCTTGCTCCAGTTGATAAAAAAGTGCATCTGTTGTCACTTCAACCAGTAAAGTCAGCAGTTGTTGGCTAGAAATAAAAAGCCTGCTTTTGTCTGCTTATGTCAGAAATTATGGATCCTTTGTTTCAAGACGTATTTTGAATTTTGAGTGAAACAGTTGAGCCTTGACAGGCATAGCAACAGTAACTAAGTAGGGTGAACGGTACATTGTGGTCTCTACAGTCTGAACAGTAACTGGCTCTTCTCAGGACATTTCTGTCTGAAAGAAAAAAGTATGTTTTAATTTGCATATTATTTCCCAGGAAATCATGACGACCAAGTATGAGATGTCAAAGCTGGAGTGAGGCAGAACATTCCCAGCCATTTGCAGACATGGAGGGAGACCATAGCAGCTGTCTCTGGCTGAAGTTTTCTCCTGGATTTCCAGTCAGCTGGTGGTGGTGGTGGTGGTGGTGGTGGAGTGACTTTTCATTTTTCAGGGGATCCTTCTGAATGGCTGCTAGTTCACATGGTGGTGAAGGCCACAGGTTCAGGGGGACCTCTGCTAGTTTCACCTTAACTTCTAAAGGACTCTACCAGAGGAAAACTGTCTTTTCACTGACCAACAGGTTCACTCTTTCCATGATACGATCAGTTTTGAGCCTATCTTTCCAAAGAGAATGTTTCATTTTTTTATGAAGTGCTGTATTTATTTCTGTTATGTTTGTATGAATTTATTTTATCAGAGAATTAACAGTGGGCCTCGTGCATGAACATACTCTCAAATATATGTCAAATGTCTTTTTTTTTGAGACACTCCAGATATTATCGGTGGCTCGTAGTATAAGTAAGATAATTATATATGATGGGAAGAACAATTAAAAGACATTTTTCTTCAGTGCTTAATTGAAGATGATTTATCTAAGTTATTTTGGCAGCCAGAGAACAGAGAGAATTTGGCTATAGTGCGTTTGATTGAATATTTTCAATCAGGATCTTTCTTTATATATGTGAAGCTCGCCGAAGTTAAAGAATTCAGTCAACAGTTTTGTTTTTTTTTTCACGTGAGTGTCCCAAACACCCTGCTTTGTTACCAGCATTCAAATCTGAGACAGAAACAACCTTGAAAATTCAAACGCTGCACCTTTGAATAGAACATTTGCTCTTATGCACTTTCGAGATCAAAGCTGTGCCTACATGTAGTTCTTGTATGAGGCCGAATCTGTTCAGGTAATTGAGAACAATATGTATGAGAGTGTCGTTCATGTCTCAGATTGAAACGACCCAACATCCAGAGTATTGGTGAATGAGTGTGAGAGCGGCAAAAGCACAAATGAGTCATCTGTACATTTTGAATTAAAATGTAACTGATTTAGTTCAGTAGTGTAGAAATAGAGTTTGCGGTCATGTTGTGAATCTACTGTATGGGTGTAGGCGGGCAGGTTTTCTATCTTCTGAAATAAGGAGCAATATGCTGTATGTATGTTAATATGGAGTTAGGTCATTATATTATTTATTTGTGTTTCAAGTGTACTTATAAGTTGTTCATTGGTATGTTTACCCATGTTTACTCTAAGTGTGTTTACAACGTGTGCTTCCATTTTTAAAAATAATTTGGACCCCGCACAATCTCACAATGTACTAGGCAAACAGCGTACTGCAGCTTGCTTTTTTTATTTCTTCGCAATGTTTGCTTTTATTGTGGATAAAAAAAAACAAAACATTGCATTTGTTTCACAGACACCTTAATAATGTTTGTGTTCTTAATGTTTTATTTTTTGTTGTTTTGAAAATGGCTGACCTGTTTCTGTCAGTGCAGTTCTGGGGTTGGAACACTGTCGTCTTTGTGTGTGTTGTTAAGAGTTGTAACTTTGTCTCTCTGGGCCATCCCATATTATAACACTAGATGAGTTATGTGGTTAGCACAAGCACAGGCTGATCACTGAAATGAGTTCATAATGTCACTTTTCCTTTTTTTTTTTTTTTTTTGCATCAGCTGGAAACCTGGAATAATTGTGCTTATGATGGCAAGCTGTCCTTCCGTTATATAAAACTGCAGACACCTGCAGTGGACTTGAGTTATTTGTACAGATGGGTTTTGGCTGATTCCTGTTATTTCATAATTCCGCAGGTGGAGAGGTGTCTGGATAATATGACTTGTCTGTTTTTTTTCATGGGTGTCATGAAGAGCTGGGCTTGAACTTTTCATACCAGTGATGTTCTTCTCTCTTCCTTCTCAGGAAGTGTGTACACTCAGAGTAAATATTATTTGATATCAGGGCATTGTTTGTTTCCTGATCTGTGATTTTCAGTATTAATTTGGCAATAAAAATACATATTTTACTATGGTTGTGAATTTGTTGCGTCACTTAAAGTGTGTTTCTTTTGAAGGCCGTCTTGCAAAAAACCAAGACTCAAAAGGAAATGGGAGAAGAAACTCTTGAATGAATGGGCTATTGTGAGCAAAATTATGATGAATGATAATGACTAAAATGCTGAGAGGCGAGTGAATGAAGCCCAGTTGCTGAAAATATAAACGTTGAATTTTCTCCAAGACATTAGCCTTTAATAGGCCTGTGACTAAGACAGCTGAACAACACAATCCCTAAACAACCACTTCTCATATAAACAGTACAAGTTGTATTATGGAGACCAAACTGATTTCCCTTTCCTTGTGAGTTAAGTACTTTTTTGTAGCCTTCCTTATTGAAGACAGTCTCAAGTTTGCTGTAGGCTTCGCTGTATGTGGGTTTAATTTTGAACAAGAGCCTATGTGCCTTAGAGAGAAAGCAGAATATCACAAGAAGTACAGCAAAGGTACACTTTCACTGATAGTTTTACATCTGAAAAACCTGTTGCATCAGTTTATTACTTTTAACAGCTGTTTTTCTTGTCAATCCGTCATATATATCTTGTGTCTAGACTGATAAAACTGATAATTAAGCAACATAAAACTGTACGGCTGATGAAAAGCTGCTTTCAAAGTCGAGGAAATTGCACAGGGACCTTCAATCTGCTTTCCTCCACTCTCATATTTATGCATTTGTTCCAAACATTCATCCTGCAGGTGACATGTCATCTCTCCAGTGTAATAAAAGTAGAGCAAAACACCTCTAGAGCACCTTTCCTTCTGGACTAACCCCACCAGCAGCATGAGTGCCTGCTTTCTGTTTTGATGGAGATCCAAGAGGTCCATTAATCCATCTACCCATGTGAGTGTTTCTGCTGTTTCACTTCAAAACGACTTGTAAAGTTAAGAGTTTCTCTTCAGCAGCATATTGTGTGTACTGTATTTTGACAATTTTGTTAAGTTTGCTTCCCTGTTTTTATAAGGGTTTTCTGTATTTGACACATTTCTATAACTTCATAATCCAACGACAGTAAATGGCCAAAATAGCAAGTAGAGTCTGCACAAGGGGAATTAAATCTGAGACTGCTTTAGATCAGAACTCTTTTGTGTTGATAAAGATGTGATTATCTTTTTTGTTCTGGGTGTTCTAATGACATCATCATGTCATTCAGCCAGTGCGGCTCAGTATTTACTTGTAAACAGTTCCCCTTTTTGCTGATGTGGTTTATTTATGCTTTTTGTTTTACATCATGATTTATAAGAATTGCCACAGTTTTATTGTTTTTGAACGGATTTCACCCAGCAGTTCAGAACTGCACAGGAAAGTTGACCACTGATCTTAGATAGATGTTTACCACAATAGGGCAGCATCAGAAAGCACTTTAGAGTTTTAAAGGAATATAATGAAATAGTTCTGCATGCCACTTCATCTTTGTGCCTATCTACTTATTTTGTCTATGAATGGCTCACTAGCATCACCACGAGCACGAAAGCCACCTCGTCTCTGATGTAAAACAAGCTTAAACAACACTCTGCGTCGACTTTGCCTCAAGGCCTTTACTGTATATTTTTATCATTACTCTCCGGCAAATGGCTTGCGTTATGTCGAGCTCAGCACTCTCCACTTATCTCTGGCAATATCCTTCCGCCTGAGAATGGATGAAACATGTGAACATCAAACAGCCTGAGCACAAGACTGAAAGAAAGGCTTGCAATATGAGCACTCCCGGTATGGTTACCGAAGGAAATTACGCCTGCCATTAAGGCATGTTGTCATTTTCGGAGCAGCGCATACCATCGGGGCACGTGTTTTGATTGTCACCATCCACTCCAGTCTGGAAGCATGCGGCTCTTCTGGCCCCTTTTATTGCAATGTAAACCCCTGGATGGAGACATAAGAGGAGCACAGAGTGAAGGAAGTTAAGAGAACACATGTGGTGAGCATTAGTCTCTCTCTCTCTCTTTTTTTTTCTCGAACAAATAGACACACTGAGATATGTTTTTTAAAATGTGACAGTTAGTGTTCCTTGTGTTAAAGTGAGGTAAAAATACTGTGAGACTCCTTTTGTTTCAGAGACATGTGGGAAATGCTTTGACTTGTACTGCTCGTGAACTTCTGCTCCAGGGGTTATATTATTGAACACACATTCTTCTTCTCCTAACTTTCATGCCTTCATTCAGAAAACCTTTTATAGTCATCCAGCGTTCATTCATCAGCTATGCACGGGTTTGCATTTCAGTCATTAAAATTCACTCTCAAGGACATTTAATAGCCCACTGTTCAGCATCAAGTGAGGCAGTTCTAACAAATACTGAAATGTTAGACTGACTTTATTTCAGTTATGTAGTCGCAATTAAAATTCCAGATAAATTGTGTAGTACATTGGCAAGTTTGCCAAATCATCATCGATTCAGGATATAATGAGACTCTTTCTGGGTAGCATACAGAAAATGAGAAATAGAGGAAAACAAACCAGGTAGAGTATTGCAGCTACTGTTTAAAAAAAAAAAAAAACTCCCTTAGAATAATGAATGGTACCTTAAACAAAGCAAGCTAGTACAAAAAACAAATATACAGTATATGATCAAAGATAAACATGTGGCATACAGTATGTTACATTGTAAAAACCAGCAACAATATTTCCAATAAATTAGAGCTGCAGGAGCACTAAAGTCTTATAGGGATTTATCATCAGTAAAACGAGGGCAGTGCATCAGCCCCGGGGCCTGACCCTGAGCCACACAGACATTATCTATGATGGACATAAAAATACAAACAACAACAGCAATGATAAAAGTAGCTGTCCATCCCTCCCAACCAATTCATTATGCTTTTGTTTAGCTAGATTTAATGAATTCAAACACATTGAGCCAAATATTGCCATCAACCACCATTTATATGCCACACTGGCAATCTTTAAAGAAGCATCTATGGTGTGTTTTGCCACATACTGTTTGATTCATAATATAACTATTAAATATTGGCATTCTCACTCTTTTGGTAATTTGGGGATGAGGAAACAGTTTCAGTTAACGTCAGTGCCCATTATCCATTCTTCCTGGTTCTTCTTCGGTTTTCAGTCTCTTCTTCCTTTCCAGACCAGCTCTCAAAAGTTGTAAGGTGAGACCAGGACGTGGACCCTGGCCACATGCTTGGCCTGAAAGGTGCGGTCGGTGTACTCAGACATATCCACGTCGACGCTGATCTCCTGTGGCCCACGCAGCTGCTGGACCAGTATCAGCTCACCGGTCTGTCTGTCCGAACGCTGCATGACAAAGATGCCGCGATAGTTTCCACCCACGATGCCGAACCGCAGACTGTCTGGCCCGGTGCGCCCGGGGGCAGCCGCGGTCGCCATGCGGAAAAGCGTGGCGGGAGTCTTCAGGTTGGAGGGCAGAGACAGGTAATGGAAGGACACGGTCTTGGGAGCCAGGTGGCAGGAGCGGCTGTCCATGGGGCAGGGGTTTCTCTCGCACTGGCTGCAAGATGGAAATGCAGCAAATATTAAACAAGGGAGTCATTGCAGGAAGGCACAATAAATGTTTTACATTCTCTGTGTGCTACAGTCATCATCCAATGCAGACATTTTGACATGGGGGGGAATGGTTACATAATTGATCTATCCCCGTGGGAAAGTGTAACATAACTATTTCTTTGTGACACACATACATACATATGAGGGTAAGTGCACTGAGGTCTGGGATTATGACAGGCTATGAACTTTTTTATGTGTTGTGGGAAGCACATGTTGGAACAAGAAAGAGAGCGGATGACATTTTTGTTACAGGACCTACACTGACAAACAAAAGTCAAGCTGGAGAGGGCCAATGATGTGTCACAGAAAGAAACACAACTATTTTTCCAAATACATAATATAATTTTAGTTTTATTATTATTTAGACATTCCTGAAGCTTTCTCACTATTATCCATTTTCTGTTTATGTTTTCCAGCTGTAAATGTTTCCTTTAAGCACTGTGCTGTGCAACGTATCAGAAATTAAGGGAATGTATTTTGCACACTAACATCTGTATTTATTTCAGTCACTCTGTTTCACAAAATTTGCTTGGCATGACGATGTACTATGAAACTAGGACACAGCTACTGTTTTACTCGATTCCCTACTTTTTCCCTTGTTACATGTACTTTCCCAAACATTCATGCATCCCCTTTACTGGCACTGGAGCTGTATTTCACCACATTGATGGTTCAGTAGAAGCAGACAGAGCTTTTGTTTCATGCTCTTAAATGAGGCAGCTTGCTGCTGACTGGCAAATGGGGAGATGGAAGTGGTAATGTCTCCAAACACACAGCGATTCTACATGGTTTAAAAGAAAAAAAATGTAATCCAATGAAACGGTTCTACTTGGGATAGATTTTCTTGAACTGATCAATGGTGCAGCTAAAATCATTACTCAGACTTTTTACTGTCATCATTTCTGTTGGTTCCGATAACATTATCCTCACATAAGCAACATCTGGGAAAACAAGGGCGTCAGTATAACAGTCAGCACTTCAGTCAGATCATCAAAGACATTTTACTTGAAGGTGAAACTTAGGAGTGCACCAAAATTGCTGTAATAATCTCTCATTATACAGGAACATTGTAAATGCACAACTACAGCAAGTACACAAGTTCCTAAAACTGTAAACAGTTTAAAAAATGGTTTCATCTGCAGCCTTTAATTTCTCTCTTTGAGTCGTTTGGTTTGCTTGGCTGTTAGTGATGTTTCTGTGTTGCCAGACCTCAGCAGTTACCACAGTGGGTTTAATGTTATTTCTACCAATACAATGATGGGCAAAAGACCCAAAAATAAGTCCTAGCTTGTATAAAACCTGTCTCGCCATGCTCAAGTGTACATCTTCAATGACAGACATTTTCACCACAGAAAGGTGTATTTTTAAGCTCTTATTGTGCATATGGGGCCACTGGAATGGATTACTGGCACACCTGAACGCAGAAATCAGTGGTGTTATTTCTGGTTGTTTTTCCATTACAAGTCAAAA